GGGGCATGCGCCACCACAGGTGGGGCATTTGGTGGTGGTGACACGGGGGATTTCACGTAGTTCATCTGCAGATCAAATAACATCATGTTTTTCTATTATATATATTATATACATCTCAATTGTAAAGATACTTATGGCTGATGCGCTCTTCCAGGGACCTGATTATTTTTCCATTCTCCAATTTTCATCAGTTACACTCGTAGAATCCACTCTCTGTCTGTTTGATTTAGCTAAAATTAAAGAGTAAGCACTCAAAGCTGTTTAAGATGTATGGCGAAAATTTGATCTCGGGAAAGGCAAATCAAACCAACAAACAAGTGAATCATATACCTTTATCTTAACTTCGCCATCATGTGAATGAACCTGCAGAGAGAGAAAGGAGGGAAGATTGCCAAAGTTAGTGCACTTAAAGCAGTCCCACACCATCACTTGTTACAAAAATCTGTTTCTGGGAGAGTGAAGCATATACCTCTGTTGCGACCACAAGGAAAAGGGCCAGCAGAAGAATGGCAGATTTGGAAGCCATTGTTGTATAGAAGAAGCCAAGAGCGAAGGCAGTGAGTGTTGATCGAAGAGTCAAGTGCCAGTTACAGCAGCTTATATAGAGAGGGAGGATAAAGAGATATAATTTTCAAAGCATATTAAAATATGGTGCACAGAGTCAGTAAGCTATATTTTAGGGAGTGTGTCGCTGTCCCCAAAGCTGAGAGATAGGGTGTGAACCGACATGCTTGTGCTGAACTAGAATATACATGTGTATATATATCATCAAAGTGTGCGTCCGCCAGCAATGAATGGTGCTACACTCGAAGCATGTTCATATGAATGAACTTGAACTAATAATTAACACGCTTCTCCACAGATGAGATCTCATCCCTTCTCACCTAATCATCTCCATATATGACGAATTTGGCAGTCAGATTACTATATTAAAATGGACCGTTTTATTCAAACCCTTACAGAGACTTGGAGATGGAGTAACACACAAACACTGAGTCGCGGCAAGTATTGCACATGGGGCAAATATGGGAAGCACGTGGGGCCAAATACTGGTTGGCACTGAAGCTTTCCTTTTAAGTCAACTTGATGGAGGAGGAAGACATGTCTTTGACACAGCTAATAATGTTGTTGTTGGCAAAGCTAAGGTTTTTGGTATCGGTGCGAATTTCTAAGTTCACGATTAAGCTGAAAAGCATAGGAAAGAGCAAAATAGACAAAAGGACTGCACAACGCACAAGGGCTGGGCTGGTTCTCATGAGCTTCTCCGTCGATTCCAGACTTGTAGAACGAGATACGCCTTCGTCGCCATTGATTGAGAGATTACGTAGTTGGATGAGACGGACGCAGACGTTCAAACACTAATATAATGATAATAATAAAAAATATAGAGTATATACTAAGTTCAGGGAAAAAGTACTTCTCTATATATTTTATTGCTATTATATGCATTTAAATTTTTACTGTTGATAATTATCTTGATATGGTCCTTTTTTTTATTAATTGATCACCGAAATTTTGAAATAAATATAATGTGTGAAATTCATTTTTCCCTTTTTTCAAATTTATAAGAATTTTAATGGAAAACATGCTAACTGATTTTGTTTTCCAATTCACATTGTAATTAGTAGAATATAGATGCCTCTGTAACACGAATGTCCCTTATCTTTGTAGCCAAAAATTCTTAATATTACTTTAAGAAGTTAAAAGACTTCTGTCTAAAAATAAGTAAACGAAAATTATAATTATTGGAAAAGAAAATTGTTATTGTTGCTCCCGAGAATCCATCCGTGACCCTCTAATCTGACGGGGCCAAGCAGCCGACTTTAATTACTCCTTCGGTATGGCACTCAATTATTGAGTTGGTTTTGGTCATAAATATAAGACTCATTTCTCATATTTATCAATGTTATGTAAATTACCCCTATGGATACTCCCACAATCATAATTAAGTAGAAGAGGAAGAGGGAGTATTAAGAAAGATGATTATGATATTTTAGAAAAAATGTGTCACATTTCTTATAATTAACTAACTTACCTAACTTTCTTAATCTAATCTAATTAGTTAAATGAGTCTTATATTAAGGACCGGAGGAGTAATTACAACGTGACCTTTGCTTGCGATATTGCGAATGTTTTGTTTTGTTGACATTTTAGTGTTCCGCTTATCATAAATATTTTTATGTAAATTAATATAAAATACTTTTTGTGTACCTTCAAATATTTAATTAATTTAAACAAAATTACATAAATTCATTTTCTCTACGAGTGCATAAACTCATGTGAATTTTTTTTGCCAAATAAATTCATATGAATTGACGTGCTCTTTTTTTTATGATTTTTTTTTTGAAAAACACTGTTCTTTTTATTGGAGATTTTACACATTTCTATAAAAATTAATTAATCATTTTTTCAATAATCTTGATTACTACTGGTATGTAGAAAGAGGCAGGACTACAAAAACTACAATGAGGCTGTGAATGTAATTACCTCTCGATTAATCGAAGAGGGGCGTTTGTTCCCCTCGTTGTTTGCCTTTGATACTTTTTCATGCAATTACACTTATTTCTTGAAAGATGAGTTAGTAACAGTATTTTTTAGTGAGACATATTATGTAAATAAAATAAACTGGATAGATTAAGAAAATTATTACAAGCGCAAAATAATGTTGAAGAATAGTAATTAGATCGTGGGGTGGGGATGGGAGGGAGTTGAATAATTCATGGATTTGGGGGAGAGCCTAGGATTCCAGAGGGTGGGCCAGGGCCAGCCCAGCAAGGCCCCATTAAATTCTCCTCGTCCGCACACCAAAAAGATAATATTTCTGAAATGTTTATTATTACTGCTTCTGGTATTTAATATATAAACTCATTTGATTTTTATTTTGATCATAATTATAAAATCCTAATCTAATTTATTTTTTATATTTATTTATTTTTTACAGTCGTCTTTGTAATAATGATACTTTTAGCCGATACACTTAATTAGTAAGGATATTTTAGGAAAAATAATATCTATTTATTACAAATACCTAATTTTTTTAATCTACTCAAATTAGTGAACTAACTCTTATATTAAAAACCGGAGGATATCTCACATTTTACCTACTTCGCGTCCTTTGCATCACTGTCATTTAGGACACTATTTATAAACTGCCTGTTCTATAATTGCAAAACGTGACCAACTTGTTCTCTGAGTTTGACTTTCCTTGCTAAATCATGCCTCATCACAATGGATCTGCCGCTTGCCTTTCTATATTTTAAGGGATATTAGTCTTTACTGTGAACCGATAATAGTCATGTGATATCTCCAAAAACATTAAAAGAAGAAAAACATTAAGTTTAGAAAAGATCCTTTTTTTTCTGAAGGTAAAATTAGAAAAATTATAATGAGGTTCTAAAAAAATAATTATAAATTAAGTTTTAGAAATTGTCATCTCCTATTTTAAAACTTGTCATTATTATTAAGATTTTTTTAATAATTTTTTTTAGATTTCATTGTAATTCCACCTGTATTATTTGATAAGAATAATTGTTGCAGGTCAATGAAGTTGGAGGAGACAACCTGATCTGTCAGTTTACGGAATAAACTGAGGGGCTAAGGATTTAATTCATCGGATAAATGACCCAGTTCTTCTTTTTTTGTTTGAAAAAAGAAAGAAAGAAAGGGCTAAGCAGTTAATCGTTTGAACTTTGAAGACAACGGTAAATATTAAAAGGGATGATCGGGTAAAAAGTAGAAACCTTATCGGAAGGATGCCCAGATAATATCTAACCTAGCTATCACCTGGCTTCTTTTTTCAATCATTATGACCAAAATTGTTAGAAAGCAAGATTGTGGTTGATTAAGCTACAGGGGCGTCCCTAGACATGTTGCTGAGAAGCTAGAAGTCTAGACATATTACTCTTTTCGGTCTGACTTTTAAGGCTGTGCTCATTCATTCAGAACCTTTTACAAAACTTAATAAAATATTCATAATATATTTTTAAAAATGCTCTTATCTCTTTCACTCTTAGCTTTTCCATCTTCCTCATCCCTCTCCCCCAACTAACTCTACTAATAATTGAAGATTATTTTGAAGAGTTGTTAATTTTTTTTTATTAACTACTCCTCGGGACTTAAATATGAGATCAATTTTATAATGTAATTTATACTTCAAAATAGGTCTTATATGTAGGACCTGCGGAATAATTTTTTTTAATTTTATAAAAGTTTTGCTTGGCAATCGTAGCACATACATTATAAATCAAATTATATATGAAAATAAAGGTAGATCTAATTCCATTATCATACCACTGATCAAAGTAAGGACGCAATCGAAATGCAATCACCTCCGGCTTATATCACCTTATACAAAGCAAAATCTCACGACTGAGCTGCTCACTCAGCAAATACATTTAATGACATACATAAAGTGGAGATTGTAGTTGGCTTTAATCAACACATAACAAAAATTCAGAGAGCTTCCTCATCACTATCTTCAAAAGCCACCCACTTAGACCATATTGTCTGTGTTTTCAACTGGAGGAGTCAAAAAAGGTCTTAATAATATTGAAACTTGAACATGTAGAAAGTATTCTCTCCAAGGAGAAAGGTAGATGATATAAACGGCATTGTCTAGTAATTTTTTGTATTGACACCTCCTTTCTCGAAAGGATGTCATTTCGCTGAGTGTTAATGGCCATGCCCATCCTTTTTCTGATAACTCCATATGCTAATACTCCTCCGGTCCTAATTATAAGACCCAATTGACTTATTTGAGGAGATTAAGGAAGTAAGTTAAGTTGGTTATTTATAATAAATAAGTGTTGTCATTCCTAAAATATCCTTGCTAATTAAGTATATTGGCTAAAACTATCATTATTAGAAGGATTATCTTGGAAAAAAATGCATAAATATAAGAGACAAAATGGATTGGGTCTTATAATTAGGACCAAATAAAAAGTCAAATTGGGTCTTATAATAAGGACCGGAGGAGTATAATTATAACCCGGGCTTAAAAATAAAATTTTAATTTACATCTGTATATCTCTAGAAATTAGAAAACAATATGTTAAATCGCAAGGTACTCTATTGGATATGCACATGAAAAAACTACATTTTCTGACATGGGGTTTCCTTCCAAGTCTGCATCAATGCTTACCCATTTCAGAGCAATCTCAATGATATGTGGCCGTCATTGACGTTCCTATTAACAATGCGATGTCATAATTGCCAATGCTTGCCCGAAGCTTCCATGTATAATACTTCTTGCCCCTTCTCTTTTGTATTTTCTACTATTACTTAAATCTGAGATGGTAATTCATTTTGAAACTGTCCCCAGAATGCCTCAATAAGGGAGCATGGCTACTCGCAGGAGAAATCATATTCACCCTTCTCATACGCAGCATGTTCCTTCATGAAGTTGGCCAGTTGGGAGTCATATGAAGCTCCCTTGAATGTTTTGTAATCTTTCCACCACCGCATATAGCTGCTCTCCTCCAAGAAAATCTCCGGCGACACTGTATAATTCTTCAGCAACCCATACACATACTCCTCAAACTCCTCCAACCTCTTCCTCCCCTCTTGCTTCTCTGTCTCACTGGACCCTGCAGCCTTGCATTTTCGCAGCAAAATGAGAGCCTCTTCCACGTGTGCCCAGAAGCAAGAATCCTTCGTCAACATAGATTGCACATTCTTTCTATTTATCCGCTCTGCTTTCTTATCTTCTTCATGCCCCTTCTGTTTTTCTCTCCACAGCTCTGCTTTCATATCTTCTTCCTGCCCCTTCTGTTTTTCTCTCCACATCTTCTGATCTTCTTCCAGCCACTTCTGCAGCTGTTTGTAATGCTCAGATCTTCCTTTACATATGTAGTCTTGTCCTCCGTCCTTGTAGTACCGAGCTATGTCCAATGGTTCGACCATTCTCCTGTAAGTAGTCCCAGCATAAAGCCACCGGGAACGAAAAGGCACACCTTCTTTCTGGGGATGAATCTCTGCCTCTTCTACCATATCTTTCCAGTAATTGTTGAGGATCATGATGAACATGGCAATCTCGCTGTCCGATGGATAAAATCCGTTCTTGTAACCGTCATAGTACCCTGTTCTCCGATTCTTGGAAGTTTTCTTGTACCACTCCAGTTGGGCCATGTACGTTTTCATTTCAACCAGCTTCTTGTGCGGGACAAACCGTTTCCTCTTATTCAGAGTGAACAACAGCTCCTGCCTCTCCAAATCCTTCACTAGATTGTTCTGACACATCCAATTTGGGGGGGGGGGCACCCGGTTAGATTCAAACTGGATTTTCTTTACATCATTCAGTCTGTCTCACTTTTTAATATTGAAGTCTCTGTTTTTTTTTTTTTCCCTTCAAAAAAGAAAAGATAAAATCTTCTAAAACTTGTACATTGTTTTTCCCTCATGGATTAGAAATTAGGGTGGAGATACCTGCGACAATTGTGAATTTGAAAATCCCAGCGCCGGCAACTGCAAAACGAGGCTCGCCTGTAGTAAATTGTGAGCAATGTTGGGAACATCAGAGCCCTTGCAAATTGCCTTACTACTGAGCCTCTCCACAATATTTCCATATGCTGGGATTTGCGATCCTTGATTCGGGGTACTCATTTCCTTCAGAAGCCTCGAAATAGAATCGGGGTTCTCAGAACAAGTAGAACCGCAATCAGAACACAAGAGGAATGTTCCGAAGGGCCTGTACGAATCGTTGGAAATGAAGGAGGAAACCAGTGGGTCACGGTGAGAGGCTACATGCAGAAAGCAAGAGTTCCAAATGCTGCTACGTGATATGGCTTCTTGCAGGTATTTGTCTCCGATAAGTGGAGAACCAAAGGTGATGCAGAGTGGAGGCTTGTCTGATAAACCCATCTTCTCTATCAGCCACAGAGTAAAAAGAGAAGCAATTGATCCTCCAACACCATGCCCAGTGACAATCGCAGGTTTCTGGAGATCGATCTGCATTCAGCAAAAACCCAGACACCCAACTATCAATCTCAGCAGTCACTTTTGCTCGAGTTCAGCATCGTTTTATTTGTTTGACTAGTTCAGTTGTCTGGCATGAGAGTCAACATGCTAAAAAAATCTTAATGACTCCCCGGGGATCCACAGGTTATTGACGACGTGAAGGAGGAGTACGTACCTCTGATTTTAGGTGACCAAGGCGCTGGCGATGATCGTTGAAGAGGGACATTGCAGGTTGATTAAGAGAGAAGTAGGGGTTTTTCTTGGAACAGAGAAATTCAAAGGGGCTATCTATCATATCCGAAGAGCGAAGCAAATCAGGTTGGACTCGGTTTTGGGTAGTCCCAAACGCTATAATTGTCAAATCTGATTCATTGCTAAGCTTTTTCCAGAAGATATTCTCGTTTGGAGGGGTTTCTGCGTTCAGGTCGGCGATAAGATTCCATGTAGCGGAGAGAAGACCAGAGCTGGCCACAAACGATGCAGTCTCAAATCCGCTGCTAAATCTGCAACCGAAAGACAAGAAACAGTAAGAAGCAGGAGTGATTCTTGAGAAGAAAAGGGAATCCAAAAGTTCATATTCAGATACAATTGGGTTGTGCCTTGCGTCATCCTCAATCTTCAGTAATGTTGAAGAGCAATTCGCAAGAGACGACTACTCAGCTCTCCAAGATGATGATATGTAATCAGCAAGCAGTTGCACAACCTGGGAGAAATGAAGTGCAACTGTGCAAGCCTCGACGATTTGCTCCTCAAAGTCGTGGAACTCCTTCAATGTCATATCCCCAGTTCGACGGTTACCTACCAGTCCCAAGAGCCAACTACCAAGGCTCCGAAGCCCGAACCACGTGACGTCGTTTTCCGCTGGGCAAATGGTTATGGAAAGGTTTTACTAGGCGAATGAGTTTGGCACTCAACGTTCAAATCTACTTTTCAATTTTTTAAAAATATTTATTTTAGTAGGTATATAATTTGAAATAAAGATAATATCTTAAGTTAATTATAATTTTTAAAAAAATACTAAATTTAAACTGTATAAATCAGATCTAAATAGTTCAAAATGGTTATCAATAAATTGGGTCGGAGGGATTATTGCATATTAAAACCTCACGAAAAAGAAGAAAGCTATAAGAAGAAAATGACAGGGTTTTAGTAGTTGATCCCACTTGTACATGTTTTTGGATATCACTCCAATTCTCATTCACAGTCATCCGTAAGGACAATTTTTAGTTTTACATATAAGTCATTTTTCTGGCATTTAATGATGATTTTCTAATTTTATTTTAATTAAAAAGAGAAAAAGGTGATAATAATTTCGGATCACTGATTTGTATATAGGTGAATTTGTTTGTTTTCCGCATTGTCATCAGAGCAGAACTCGGATGTAACGGAGCATATGAGTTGAGCTCTGATAAGGAGAGAACGAGGGAGGTGGACCAAGAAATTAGTAAACTGGAGGGTGGTGGGTGTAACAATCAAACTCAGAAATATATGTACATATAATGACAGAACAATATCAAAGCAAATGCTATACTGTTCTCATCACAATATGGAGAAAATCTTCAGAAAGAAAAAATATGCAGAAAGGGAAATATCAGAAGAACCGAAGAAGAATTCCAGAGAGAGGGAGGGAGCCACATAGAAGAGAGATTCCATAGTCATTCCACACCTTCCGTAACCAATTTTACCCTTATTATACTGACTCCTCCGCCTCCAAAGCTCACACCTTCCATGCTTCCCACTTGTTCCTATCTTGGGCCTCCCATTAGGGCCCCTAACTTGGCCCAAATCCTTTATGACCGTTACAGTGGGGTATGAAGTATGATTTAGGAGCCTGCTTCAACATGAGGCAGTCGGGATATATCATGTGGATTGGTTCATTCGAGTACAGTGGTCTAAAATTGAGGGACCATGCTCCGCGTAATGGACTGTCGTGTTCTGGACCTGTAATGTAAGCAAATCAGTTTTACCTACCAGAAGCTGAATGAAGTTTGTTAGAGTGACAACTACTTACAGCCAATGTGCAGTTCACCACACCACTAAGTTCTTCTTTTCTGCGAATAGTCCTATACTATTAACCCTTTGCATGGTTCCAGTTTGGCATTAAATGGGTAGGGAAGAATCTCTACGCACTTCAATTTATCTACAAACGTTTACTCTGATACTGTAATGTCAAACGATCGACTTGTCTGTACTAAATTAATCAATGCTTTGACTTTTGGATAATGATTCGATTTGATTGCAGGAACAAACTTGATATTTGTATTGACATCAAATTTACACATAAATTGAAGTCGACTTGTTGAGCAAAGTACATAATTAAGCTTGTAATCAGCATCGTATAACATTCAAACTCAATGAGTTTATAATGAACATCAAGACGTGGTTTAGTCAACCGTAATTTTTTCTCAAGACAGTGACATTTGAAACTGAAGGAAGGCGAGAAGAGTCAAAACAGAATCGAAATGTAGGGAGGAGACTAGCCCATGACAATCAAATGCTGATGCGTACGTACGGTGCAAGTTGATAAATTTTGTGGAAAGAGAGTTCAGTGTGTTGTTAGGTTCTTCCATTCAAATATTGAAAAACCAAATTCGCTGGAGACAGCATTATTGATCTAAGGATGAATTATTCTTAATTCACAAAATTACATACTACCTCCAGTTCTTAATATAGGATTTCGTTTGACTTTTATTTTGGTCCTAAATATAAGACCCCAATCCACTTGGTCTCTTATATTTATATATTTTTTCCAAAATAATCCTTCTAACAATGATATTTCTAGCCAATACACTTGATTAGTAAAGATATTTTAGGAAAGACAACAACTATTTATGATAAATAACTAACTTAACTTCTTTTCTTAATTTTCTCAAATTAGTCAACTAGCTCGTATAATTAAGACAGGAGGTAGTATAATATCATCATTCTTCTATAGCGTGAAATGTCTGCGTGGGGTGTTAAGTCCTAATTCTAATGGAACTATATTACACGAGAATTTTGTAAGAAAACCGAATCATCTGATGTGAAGTTATAAAAATCATGTTGATTTTAGTTTGAACATGATCAAAGGATGTTTAGATGGCAGGGGGTGTATTGAAATGAAAGGAGCTTCTAGTAATTTTGAGCAATTGGCGCATATAATGCAGCTTTCGTACCAGTGTTGATTTTAGTTTCATAAAGTGATCTATCTGGAGAATTCTGATGTATTTGTGTAGGCCGTTTGGGTAGGCAGATTGTCCCGGCTCACAATTATGAAGTTTCCTTAAATTGAACTGCAGATCTGCAGGTGTGATGTGATCATGACGACGCCAAGTGTTCGATAAATTGCCCCAGTGTTGACCCTCACCCCTCTGCAGCCAATAACGCAGAATCCAAAGTCTTTCTCTGGCATTTGAAAAAGAAGAATTATGTTCTTCATAACCATAACTCAATCCAACTAGCCTTCTGAACTAAAAATCCTATTTGTAATCTCCTTGGTATTTTATTTGATGAGTTTATGCCTACTGCTCTGTTATTCAGTTCAGACGACAGGCAATAATTTTGCAGTTGCTGTTGAGATGCACTGCTCAGGTGGGTAGGTGATGTAGTGTTCATTCATGAGATGAGTTGGTTGGAAAGAAAAAGAAGCTGCATTGGACTCACCTTAACCATCCAGACAGAGCGCGATTGGATGCTTCTTTTGACTCGACACTTCATTGAACTGTGCGTCCAATAAACTTGGATTCTGCTTCGGAACATCGTTGGCAGTGGCGTCCATTACACAATTGAATAAGGTCAATGCACTCAATTGGGGACCCCCTTTTCAGGGAGAAAGTTAAAAACGGAGGGAGAGTGTTCCCCGTGGGCCATGTCTCTATATTCGCACTTTGTCTGTACATATGGTGGTTGGGGAAGGATGATTGGTCCGTGACCTGCACGTGCTTTTCTCTTTCTCCATCATTATGGATTGAAGTTTCGTCGGTCACTACGATATCTAAACAAGATCTAAAAAGTAACAACATCATGATAAACGCATCTCGTTCTTTTGTGACGAGATACCACAATTTACGTTTTCAAACAGAGAAGAGGGGACGTGCAAGTGGCCAAAAAAAAAAAAGGCACTCCAAACAACGCATTTGAAGCAGCGGCTTCGTCAACTTTGCCACCCTCGAGTCTTCTCGAAAGGGCTTTAAAAGGCTTCGTGGACTGCTTTTTGGTCTTTCGCTCCTCCCTTGGTGATGGATGGGTAAGTCATAAAGCGCACGATGGTATGAAACCATTTTTATGCAGCTGTATGGACTTTAAACCCCTTCACCATCCTACTTCATAGGACTTGGCCCCCGACAATTCAGGGCATTTAGATGGGTCCACCACCTAATGAACCTCACATGCATTGTTCAACTTCGCTTTGCCATGTGTCAACCTCCCACGGTTGAGTTTAGAAAGAGATAAAGTGCTTGTTGATCTTGCTTCTTTTACCCTTCGAGAATGTGAATTATTTTAAGTCAACAAGCAGTGTGCTTTAATTTTTGTTACAGAAACAGAAATTATTTGGGTTCTCACGGTTTTCTCTCTAAACCCCTCTTCTCTGGCCGTCTGTTGGTGTCGGAGAAGACCATGAAATCTTGGGCCACGCTTTTTCTGGACAGGATTAATGGCTATAGCAAATGGGAGAGATGCCTCAACAGAGGAAGTAAGGTGCCTTTTGTTTTGACGTCTCTGTTCGTAGCCTCCATTTTCGGTGTCTTCCTTCTCTATTCCCCAAATCCTTTGTCTGCCATGTCCATTCGAGGAGGCTCTGACACAGTTGAGAAAAACTTTCAGAAGCAACAAGAGCTTGTCAGTACAAATTCTACGTCCAAACCACAGAAAGGTAAGTTTCACATTAATCGTCCCCTTCGTCCTCTTGCCTCTCGGCTCTCGGCTCTCGGCTGAGTGAACACAATTTGGAATTTGGGTTTTGCAGAGCAGAAATGGTGTGACCTGTTTAAGGGTCGGTGGGTTGCAGCCTCAAGAGGACCGCATTACACGAGTTCTAGCTGTACGACCATCCCAGATACGAAAAACTGTCTGAAGCAGGGCAGAAAAGATAGCGATTTTCTTAACTGGAAGTGGAAGCCAGAGGAATGCGAACTTCCGAGATTTGATCCTAAAACCTTCCTAGACATGGTTCGAGGGAAGAAAATGGCGTTCATTGGCGACTCTGTGTCAAGGAACCACATGGAGTCCCTCCTCTGCCTTCTGTCCCAGGTCAGTGTTGCAAGTACTGCTGACACATGAATTCCCATTGTATTTTACGCTAAGCCACTTAAATTCCAAAGCAGAATTGTCTTAGGGGATGGGCAGAGTTCTTGTTATTCCGCTGAATACGTAATTATCCAAAACCATGTATTATTACGCATTGAACCCTCCCAAGTATTTTGCTTGCACTAAAAAGGTATGCGATTCCCAGCACGTAAGCACTGGACCTTGGCACAGCCCAGCTGGGTGTGGGTATACAGACAAAGCGAAAATATCTCAGGGGCTCCAAGTAAACCAGAACGTAGAAAAGCATTGACACGGCTTGTATAATTTTACAGGAAGAAATCCCAAAGGGTATATACAAGGACTCGGAAGATCGGTTCCGAAAATGGTTTTTCCCAGAGCACAACTTCACTCTTATGTCCCTGTGGAGCAGATTTCTGATAGTAGG